TGATGCTCCCTCTCTCTGTTTGTGGAGGAGTTTCTGTCAGTCAGGGGGATTGAAAGCCTAAAAACATCATTGTGTGAAAGACGTGCACATATGATGCTGGTCAAATTGGGACTACAGTCTTCTATTCAAGAGCCACATAGAACACAGGTTACACAGATGTAAGAAACAGCTAAAGCTCTCCATTAGAAAACATTTGCATTTGTGAAATACAATATACTTGAAGTTATAATATATTATCTAACTTTTATCTAACTGCATCCTTTACATTTTCAATAAGGACTTTAAGTGTAATGTCACAAAATTTCAATGCCTGCTATGCCCTCTCTTGGTTATTAAATGTGCAGTTGTGATAAATAATTACCCTATTGTGATTGCTTAATATGCTCTTCTAATTTTTGGCAGCAATTTAACACCATACTGTAAGGTCTGTCATGCAAAGGCTTGTGGGCAATCGTATAGTCCCTAGCAGCAGTTAAGGACGACTGGTGGTATCTTTGCAAGCTAAACGCTACCAAACATCATACTTCCTGAATCCAGCCCCTTCCTAACTGCAAGCAATATTTGGATACCACTTCCTATAATGATCATGCCTTATGTGTCCTTACAGATTTAAAGTATTCAGATTGAGCCTATGACTTAAGTCAATGGGTACTGACTGTGGACCCACCTGCTTTAGGATCTCAGAACTGTATATGATGAAGTGCATTACAGTATAACGAGAATAAAGCTTATCTAAGGGATCTAGTAGTGATAGCAGAAATAAATCGTGTAGCAGCTAAAAAAAACTAACATTGAAATATACCAGTCTTCATGTAAAATAAACTATTGCTGCTGTTTTATTGCTTTTATTGCTTTTATTGTAATGTCTATACTTCATATTTATCTTATCACTTTTACCTGTCATGTCCCGCACTTTATGTCAGATTTTAAATGTCAGTCTTGTATATTTCTTGTATATTTGTATATTTCTAGAGAGTAAACATAATTTCATTTCCCTTGTATGTCTTGTACATATGAAGAAAGTGACAATAAAAGCTGACTTGACTTGACTTGACTTGAAATCGCAGATATTAGCATGTTGATAAAAACGCCACTTCCGCTTTTGTTTAAAGTTTGTGAAACCCATTAGTTAGTAATAAATGGATCAGTTGTTCTCTAATATATTGCTGCTGACAATTGTTCCACTTTGAGTAATATCGCTTGATCAAGCCTTTTCTAATAGGTCACACTGCACAAATGTGTGTATAATGTGTGTTTATTCATGAATAAATGTATTTATGATTCACGCTGATGTTTTATGAGGTCAATATGGGTATTGGTCAATATGCAAAGCTGCAATATCAGTTTCATATTACTGGAAATGAAAACGTCGTATCCAGGCATCCCTAACTTATATAACCTGTTTGTAAAGTTTCAACAGCAGAAAGAAATGTTTGTATAAAGCGAATGTAGCAATACAACTTACTACGTTACCAACTGCTTACTGACAGAAGACATTCATTTGGGGTTGGTCCTTCCAAATACATCAAAATGTTGCTTCTACCTCCTTTTCCTAGCTTATATCCCTTCATCTTTCATGGGATAAATAGTAACACTACCCAGGGTAAGAAAAGAGCTCCGGACTGCTGTGCTGAAACCTTCAGCCTTAAAAACATCATTGTGTGACAGACATGTGCACATATGATGCTAGTAAAATTGGGACTACAGTCTTCTAGTCAAGAGCCACATGGAACAAACGTTACACAAATGTAAGAAACACCTAAAGCTCCCCATTAGAAAATCCAAAACATATGAAGGTGTGTACATTTGCATGTGTGAAATACAGTATGCTTGAAGTTATAATGTATTATCTAACCTTTATCTAATTGCATCCTTTACATTTGCAGTAAGGACTTTTAGTGTCATGTCACAACATTGCAATGCCTGATACACATTCTAGGGACAAGATTTGTGAATTTGACTTTGTGTTGCATTCTAACGCCATCTTGTGGACTGATTTGAACAGTCACAAAAATTAAAAATGTAACCAAAACAACCTCATGTTTTTATCCCCTCCTCTGACACTGAACAGAAACCTTTACATTTATAACCAATTACTTCCTCTGTTATTTTGCACACTGCTGTGCAGGATACTGAAATAAGGTCATACTTTGGATTCTTAAATGAACTGTTGTTGTTTAGACGAATTGTGTTAGAGACAACATTTCAAGCAAATTATTGACTTTAATTAAAGCAGCGGCTTAGTTTTAAATAATTGTCACATTTCTTTAACTCCTCAACTCAGCACAATGTTTTTGCCCATTTACTACACCTACTGTTAGGGCATTGCATCCCTGACACTGGATTTAGATGGACCTTATGCTACACACTTTGGTTTTTGTCTTTCAGTACAAGCAATTCCGTTTCTGCTTTGTTTTTTGTTTTTTTTTTTGTGCTTCCAATTTGTTCATGTCATTTATCTCTAGAGCTCAGCAGCCAGGTTTTCTCCTCTCTTCCTGTGCAGCAGCACTGACTGAAACCAAACCTCGCCCCTCACGTTTCACAGGTTTCGCTGCACAGTGAATCCTACTCTCAAAGATGTCTGTGGCTGAAAGTTTGCACATGTGTAAATATACATGCATTAGTTATATTGAAACCTCCACTTTTGATGTCTGGAAAAAGATGTCTTAAAAGTCTTACAGGAAAAATCTTTCTGTGGTCATAGTGCAGCTGTTCTGCTTAGCAGCAGAGCTGAAATTAAAACATGTCAACAAAAGCAGCTTGGTCTGTGCAATCATGTAGTGCATTCAAACAACCGTTAAAAAATAAACGATTGAAGTTTATTCTCACATGAGCGGTTTGGCATCGCAGACAAAACAAAGGGTGATGTAATGCTGAGAATCTGATTCAGATGCCATTTGGTCGTGCTTTGAGCATTTAGCTGAGCTCTATCTTGTAGAGGGGAGGTGGGAGGAAGAACACAGACTGATGGGAAGGGAAGAGCAGGAAAGCCCTTATTGCCATGGCAACTGAGAAATACAGACTCTGTTGTTAAACGCTGCTTTAACAAAACATTCGGGGTATGGGATCGCTCAACCATCACTGTAAGCCACCAGCAATTACCCAAGGCGCACACAAATAAAGATACATAGCAGTTTGCAAAAAACATGATGAAATAAGGAGTCAATGAGTGGACATGCTGCTGCAGAATCACACCCTGTGTTATCACAGTAAAATATGTGGTATGCATGCTCATGTGACATCAAAATATTGGCAGATTGAAGATGATATTACTTAACTTGAAATACACCACTGATGATGAGTTGCTTCTGTTCAAACTCTCACCTCACCCACCTTTTGTCTTTGTGCAAATAGGGCTTCATCTGCTCAGCAGCAAAAAGCACACAACTAGTCTTGATAAAAGTATCCACACCCTTTCAATCTATTCAGCTTTTTCCTTGCATAAACTTCAGTATTTGCAGATTTTTTTTTTTTTGGTGATAAAATCCTAAAATTGAATTATCAGTGTCAACTAACTGCCCTCATAAACCATGTGATAAATGCATTTATCACAGGGTTTCTAACAGTGGACTAAACCCAGCATAGAAGGTTTGGCTAGAATTGATCACTTGATGATCATATACATTGAAATAATGTGTATATGAAAATAGAAATGCTCCACCTTGTGTCAATTGAAGGACACAGCATCCTAATTCAACTCTAAGAGGCAATACAATACATCATACTATTTATACAATGAAATCAGACTAATCTATTTCAATGCTATGGCTTTAGAGAAAGGCAAACATAAAAACAAATAATAACAGCTCTAAAGAGAACAACACAGGATGCTTTTAGTGAGGTGTGCAGGATAGATTTCTATGCATGTCTTTGAACTCAACTACAGGTTAAAGTTGGACAAACCAGCTTGGGTAAAAAACGGTCAATCTACTGATCACTCTGACCCAATATAGGTGTGTGGAAAATGTTGTTTGCACGTTCAATTTGGAAACCTCGCTTCCTTTTCTGGTTGTTAGGATCACAGAAAAACAGAATGATGTCCTAGAAAGTGGTGGATGCTGGACTGTGAACGTGCACGCGCAGAGAAGACAACCATCTCTGCTCGCCGTGTGCACGTGCCAGGCTCATTCCTATAGCAACTGGAAGGGCACAGGTGCATGCCTCATCTAAAACGAACCGGGCGGGGGAGTAAACATAGAAAAGGAATTATAATTCCCACGGTCTTAAAAAATGCATAATCGCAGCATGTTAGAGGGGAACGCCAATTCTTAACAGTTTCTAAATGCCATTCTGAGTTTTTATCAAAAGGGAAATACTCTTTAAGCATGGGGTGCCTATGGAGGTGCAACGTGCAATTTCCAACTCATGCAGTATTGCGCGCGCAGGATCAAAGCAAACGCACGCACGCGCTCAAGTGAGAAGCGCATCTGTCACGTTTTCCAGTGAAGGTATTCCCCAGCTTCTTCCTGAGCAGCAGTGGATGTGCACTCATTTAAAGCTACAAATGTCTAAATGAATTAAAACTTTTAGGCGTATATGCTTCTGTTTAGAAATAGAAAATACATTAGAAATATTTTCTGTGAATGAATTTGGATGCGTTATTTATCAAATATGGATGCTTCAAGTCTCTACTAACGCTCCTCGCCTCCACTGAGTGTCACCCAGCAGAGGAATTGATTTGCTCCCCCTCTTCCCTCCCTTCCCACCAGTCACATGGCGGTGACCCGCCGCTCCCTTGCTTTCAGCGGCAGTCTCTCCGCGATGCGCTCTGAGCCCACATAGAGACGCGCTTCCCGGGTTTACAACTGCGCTTTCATCCTGTCCTGTTTTTGTTTTTACTTGTTTATTTTTTTCCTCCCCGCTGAATCCGCTGAAGTCATCGGTAAGCGATACAGCCGGTGTATTTATAGTGAGCCACGGCGGCGATGAGAAGCTGGAAGCTGTCGGTGAATCCGATCGCTGCTGCGCTCTGTGGGAACTGAAGCTCCAGCTACGACAGAATGAAGTCCAGGCGAGATAAACTGAAGATCCCCTCTCTGACTTTAGAGTGAGTTCCGCTTTTTACTATTACTATATTTGTCTTTGTGGTGCAGCGGTTTAAGAGCTATGAAACTACTATAATTAAAACTTGTTGCAAAAGGGGGAAATAGGAGCGCGTATTCAAAAAAAAACAACAACATGTTCAGTTTAAACCAACAAACATTTTTATTCCAAATCAATGAAAGATAGAAAAACAGATGTTTACATAGATAGATAGATAGATAGATAGATAGATAGATAGATAGATAGATAGATAGATAGCATTTCTGCATTCCATAAAAACTTTAGGATAACAGGTTGATGATGCTCTACTTTTTCTTTTTTTAATCTGTAGCCTTTTTTTTCTAACACAAAAGTAAAACAGAAACCAGATAAAAAAAAAATGTTGCCACCAAAAACAGAAACCCTTTGTATAAATATTCTGCATCATATGTTCTAAGGGGAAATAATAAGAACTTTGGGTTGGTTTCGTTCCTGGTATCTGGTACCAAAACAAGCACCAGCTATAAACCAATCCCTTATTTATTATTAAGGCTCTGTTTCCGCTTTGTTTATTCATTTTTAAACCAGTTTAAAATCTAATTAAATGCAAACAGCCTCCCTCCTTTTGCCTTTTAATAATCTGCAAAATGAGGTTTAGAATTCAAAATGTCAATCTTTAACTGGATATATTGATACAAAGTCTATTCATTTAAGGATCAGAAAGTCTTAAAGTTGCAGATCATGTCTGCATGGCTAAATATTTCCTTATATTTAAGGATTTAAGCTCTTCTGTCTTCTCACATGATTGTTGAATGAATCACACACTCTCCTCACTTCACACCACTGAGTTGTTAGACCCCAAGGAAAGACAGATATGTAATTTTCTTATTACTAACCTATGATTTCCATAATCATTAAATGGTATGACAAGCCTGCAGTTTTACATCCACCCACTCCTCGTCCTGAGTGAATGTACGCTTTCTTTATATAGTGAGAGGGGGGTTCGCAAGGCCCACAAAATGCTGATCCATAAGGCGTAGGAGCTCCTTGCTCACAACCCGATTCTCTGATCCATCCATCTGCCTCCTGCGTGAACCACGTTTGGTTTTATCTCATTTTCATCTTCAGGCATTTAGGAGCATCTGTTTCTGCATTGAAGGGAATCAGAAAAGGTTTTCACCCCCCGTGAGAAAGGGAGGGGCTAAAGATTTAATGACAGCTGAAGGAATGCACCACTGAAACAAAACATCCGCATCAAACAGGAGCAGATAAAACATTTGTCTGTATTTAGCTTAGAATACTGAATACGGTTATCTTATATTTTACTACATTTCTACTTATGCATCAATGTAAAGCTAATGTGGGAAAACCAAACAAAACATCTGAAAACCTTCTACACCACACTTCTGTAGTGCAGTTGTAGCAGCCTCTGTGTACATCCAGGAAAAATAATAAATTCAGTGTTAATGGCACCAGTGAGTCACTCTGAGATTCTCTACTCACTTCACACTTTGGACAAGACTGTTTAAAAGAGAGGACACAAAGGAGGGAAAATGCATCACAGAGAAACCTGTAGATACTTTGTATGTGGGAAAAGTCTTTAAGTGAATCAAACACCTGGAATGGGTTGCATGAGTTGAAGTCACCGAGTGACGACTCTTTGTACAAGGAGTTGGCTTTTTTTTAACCATCCTTCCTGCATTACTATGACAACACGTTCATTAGTGGTGTAGTCAGTGCTGTACACCGAGAAGCTTCTGCAGCACGGAAACAATAGTTAAGCCCAGAAGGCAGAGCTTATATCTGAACAGATAAATCAACAGGAAACATCTTCTTACAATGTTCACTTTAAGCTTAGCCTGTTCAGCTGGGAGATTTTAATGCAAAAGTTGTGAATTAGGGTGTAAAGTTGAGCAATAATATGAAAACACACCAACATATCGGCGCTCAGACACTTTCAAATTCAATAAAAGTTTACCTAAAGGTTTTTGCAGAGAGTTTCAGCTACAGAAAAAATAAGTGCTTTATGAATTTATGGTAAACATTTCTCCATTTGTCAGGCTTTTTAATTTGAAATCTGGATGGATGGATGGATGGATGGATGGATGGATGGATGGATGGATGGATGGATGGATGGATGGATGGATGGATGGATG